TCCAAGGCAAGCACACTGATGATCGTGGAGGACTCTTCATCGTCTATGCCGACTAGGACTCTGTAACCATAGGCCCCGTCCTCCTTTATAAGGCGAGGCCGGGATAGTCGATATGCCCTTGATAGCCCTACAAACATCATTGTACTATGTGCACCATCATCATCAATAAACATGAAGCAAGAAGTAGGGGTTTAGCTCGAGCACTGTTAGACAAACGACAGTTGCCAGATGAAACACACACGACATGTCATATCGTACCATCCATGTGCAAAGTCTAAATAACAACATGCGGTTGGATTAGCCATCGTGCGCATGTCGTTCAACAAAATGTCGTCCGTGATATCGAGGGGTTTGTCGGATTTCACACCAACAATTTGACTTTTGAAAATTTTAATTTGTCTTATATTTGAAACATGATAGTATATACTATTATTTTCTCTTTTTTCAAGGCAAACATATCATTTGTTTTTTAGATAAAGAGTTGTTCATTCCCTTTTGTCGAAAAGAAAAGGAAGCACAATTCGACTCCAACGCCGCAATCTCACCCGACGGCAGAAATCACATATCTGACCTCAGGCAGAAATCAAATCACAAACTGACCTGGTCACGAAAAAAATTCACTCTGCTGACCCTTTGGTGTGGCGCCCGACAGCCGGGCGCCGCACCCTACTGTGCAGCGCCCTTCCCTTAGGCGTCGCACATCCTGCCAGCGTGGCAGCCCTGGTCCAGTTGCGGCCCCACACGCACCTGTGCAGCGCCTAAGAGCTAGGCGCCACACACCTGTAATGTGCAGCGCCTAGCTCTTGGGCGCTGCACAGTCTGTGTTTCACTTGGGCTGGCCCCACCCTCTCTCCCCTCCCACCCCACCCCACACACCCCCACCTGACCCAAACCCTTAGACTTGCGGCCCTCCTCTCTTCCCCTCTCCCCCTCTCAAATCCTTCTCAAATCTAGCAAATCCGGAGTATTTAACCGTGGATTTCAAAGCCAACCCCTCCCTTAAGGTAATCTCCTCCGATCCCCTCGTTTTCATCCATAGGAATTGTCACATTTTCTCAAATCTTGCTAGTTTGGGGAAACCCTATATTTTGATAGGATTTGGAAATTTGTGTTGAATGATGTTATATTTCTTTGCTAATTTGGGTTGTTTAGGCTTCCATAGTATGCTAGGGTTAGGGTTATGTGTGTTTGATGTTGGTGTTAGGGCTATGTTGGTGTTAGGGTTGTGGTTATTGTTATGTGGGGGTTAGGGTTATTAATTCATATATATGTTAGGGCATATGTGTGCAAATATTTTTCTTAAGTATTTACTTGATATATGTGTGTTTTTGATTATTGTAGGGATGGGGAGAACATGTGTTTATGTTCATCATGTGGATAAAGAGGCCTTTTTGAAAGGCAATGTTGAGACGGACCCGGATGAGCTTGACATGGTGTTTGAGAGTAGTCCTAGCTATGCGGAGCTTTTGAAACAAGTGAGGGAAGATTTGAATTGGATGGACCCAAGTGACGTTGTTGAGTTCGAGGGAAGGCATAATGTTGGTTTAGGAATGCACATCTATTGGAAGACAATGCGTGTGAACTCCGAGCAACGTTGGGTTGCATACAAGGAGACGGTTGCCGAATCTCTAGACAAGGCTCTTGAGTTATTTGCCTCCAAGAAGGTTGAGTCTACTTTGAATTTAGACTTGAACCGGAACCCCTCCCCGTTGGTTGCTAGCACTCCCCCACCCATGAACCAAGATCAAATGAGTGAACCTCAATTCACGCAAGAAGATTGGCCAACATTGAGCCCGACTCCAAACAACCAAAATGAAGGTTTTGAAGAGGAGAATGATGAGTACGAGGAGGATGACAACGAAGTTGACCTCCATGACAACAATGTGGGTGATCTCGACCAATATCATGTGCAAGAGACAATGGACCAATCCATCCCTTTTTCCCGTGCATATGCATCGGACTCGGATGACGATGGTCCTGATGAAGAAGTTGATGAGGAGGGGTTCACACCGAAGGAGGCCGAAGCATTCAAGAAGGTATTCGGGCGGGATCACAAGACACCATTGTTCAAGGATCTTAGTCTCGCGGATGAAGCCGTTGTCGATGGTGGAAAATGCATATCTCTTGGAGCTAGGCCAAGTTCTCACCATGATTTGGAAGACGGCAAGAATGGGATATATCCCGGTTGTGAGTTTTAATCCTTCTTGGAATTGAAGATGTGGCTCGACAACTACTCGGTTACACATTATCGTCCACATAAAGTGGCCAACTCGGACGTGAATGTGCGTTACACGGTCAAATGTGAAGTGCCAACATGTCCATGGATTGTGCGTGCGTGGTATAAAACCAAACATTAGCACATTAGTACGGTCAAATGTGAAGTGCCCAGTCCTTTATCTTCCGTTGCCTTCTCCTGTCCAACCTGCGTGGTATAAAACCAAACATTAGCACAATCAAAAGGAGTCCCGATGATTAGACAATACGCACACATGCTCTCTTACCTATGAAGTGCTTTATCCATGTCCACCCAATCCGGCGGGTGAGGCTGGAAAAGACCAAACTGACGATACACGCGATGCGGCAAATGAAACTCAGCCGCCCAGTTGCATATCAGTGGGCACCGCATAAGCCAGAGATCCTTATCCCGCAAGCACATCGGGTTGAGGCGGAACTCCGCGGTGTACCCCAAGCTCTCACCCGCGCCATATGGCTTCTATTCCACCTATGAAATAGGGCAACAATGCAAATTTGATAACTATTTTTCAAGCAAGCATGAGAAAGGACTAAAGTAATGACCTCCTTACCTGCTCAGGCGTAATCGTGTCCAACTCGGCAATGTACTTTTGGTACATGAGATTGACATCGTTCGTCATCTCGGAAACGATATCCCACTTGTAAGCCCACGTGGGGCGCCGTAATTCGTCATGTTCATCTGCATACCAAGGATCAAACCTGACGCTCTTCGGGCGTCCAACAGGCAGACGCTCCCAGCTCCATACAGAAAGTAGAAGCAGATTACCGACAATGCCTGCACTAGGTGTGATCCTGCAACACGCATCATCCAGCTACATATGAAAGAAAAACAATGTTAACTTGACAGCAAGCTTGCATTCCTAATGAATAAATGAGTTGATCACAAAACAGACCAACTACCTGTCGGTACAAGTAGGCAAGAGTCGCTGAACCCCAGCTCCATTTGCTATCGAAGACAGTCAACGCCTTCAGCCACATCCATGGAGCGTTCTTGCCAGTGGAGTCAGGAAACAAAGTCCTCGACACAATGTACCACATATACACACGAGCATGTGTCTGGATCACATCATCAGTTGCATCCGGAGGGCACGTCGCAAAGTTATTTTGAATCCACGTGAAAGCAGCTCCGGCTGCCTTCCTTTCCCTCTTCTTCTTCTCTTCTCCCTCCTCTACATCATCCTCAGCCTCGGTAGGAGCCATACCGATAAGAGCAATCATCTGCTCGCACCACCCATCAGAATCGGTGCTCATACATAGAGGCCTCCCGTCGATAGCAAGACCGGTGATCAACGAGACATCCTCGAGCGTCACGGTCATCTCCCCGGTCCGAAGATGGAAACTGTGGGTCTCTGGCCTCCACCGATCAACAAGAGCGGACAGCAGTGGAGCGTTCAGATTCGGCGTGGACCGGCTGACCAACAGAATCCACGGGAGTAGTCCTGCCTGCTTGATGTACGGTGTGTACCGCTCATCGTAAGGCATGGCAGGACCAGAGACCCCGTGATACCGAATCTTCAGAGGTTCAAGCTTCTACAAAAAACAAGTAATGACAAATCTTAGGGCATGTAAATTTCAACTAAAGGCAAATTTGCAAAATATTTAGATTACTCATTATTACCTTATCCTTCTCGCGCATCATGTAGGCCCGGTATTGCACGTCGTAGACATCGTCCAGAAGCCAAACCATCCTTACAATTTCAAACAATAAACATATAAAAGTTCATCTTCATCTCAAATATCGGTATACACTAAACATATAACATGTGTTCAACTACAAGAATCTCAACATCTCCTTCTCACACAATGAATATGTCATATGTGTTCAAATAAACTAAACATCTAATATTTCAAATAAACTCAACATCTAATATTTGAAATAAACTGAACATCTAATATATATCTAAACAAACTTCTCATATATGTCTACAAAAATCAACATCTCATAGTTATCTATAAAAATAGGCATCTCATATATATCTAAAAAAACTAAACAATCTAGGGTTTCAACAACAAGAATCATATATTGTGAACTAATAAATAACACTACGGTACTACCAATATGAATACACATCCTAAATCGAGCAAACCAAACAAATCAAGGGTTCCATCAAATCATGGACAAATCTCTAGAATGGCAACAAATTTACGGAGCAAAAGAAAGAGAAGGGAAGAGTTTACCTAGTAGGATGGATTGGGGATCGAATCCACGGATCAAATCTTCAGATCTGAGAGGGGTGTGGGGGGATTAGATGGGGGCGCCGCCGCCGCCGCTGCTCTCTGTCCAGAGAGCGGAGAGATGAAGAACTGTCTGGTCGGGCTGGGGCGGCCGCGCTTAAGTCACTGTGCAGCGCCCAAGGGCTAGGCGCTGCACGTCAAAGTGTGGCGCCTAGCTCTTAGGCGCTGCACATGTGCGTGTGGGGCCGCAACTGGACCAGGGCTGCCACGCTGGCAGGATGTGCGACGCCTAAGGTAAAGGCGCTGCACAGTAGGGTGCGGCGCCCAGTTGTCGGGCGTCACACCAAAGGGTCAGCAGAGTGAAATTTTTTCCTGAACAGATCAGTTTGTGATTTGATTTCTGCCTCAGGTCAAATCTGTGATTTCTGCCTCACCCGACCCAACCTCAGGGGTCTCCGGTCTTAACTCTGACGCCTGAACTACCCCTAAACCCATCCCGTCCCCGCCGCCGCCGCCGTCCGCCGCAGCCTTCCACCCCCTCCCCCCTCCAGACCCCGTACGCCTCCGCGGCCATGGACGCCGCCACCGACGGCGAGCAGCGGCGCCTCCTCTCCATCCCCAAGGAGGGCGAGCGCGTCATCGCGCCGACGCGCCGCCCGGACGGGACCCTCCGCAAGGAGATCCGCATCCGCGCCGGCTACGTCCCGCAGGACGAGGTCGCCATCTATCAGTCCAAGGGCGCCCTCGTGAGTCCTCGCAGCATCCCCCGTACACTATTCCCGCACCACGGCGCCAGACCTGTTCCGTTGCTGGGCTCTCGTTCTTTTTGGGGGGGCTTAAGCTTTGTTTGTGCTCGGTGCAGATGAAGAAGTCAGGGCCCGACGTGACGCCGGGGTACGACCCTGCGCTCGATGCCAAGCCCAAGACGAAGGCGGCCAAGCGCAACGAGCGGCGCAAGGAGAAACGGCATCAGGTAGGCCTTCTTCTCTCGCTAATGTGTCGCCATTGTCCATTGATGCTACAGGAACATTCTGATTCGGTTAAATTGGCATGGTTATATGTGGGTTTATTGTCCGAGGGCGTCATTGACCTTCCTTCGTTCGTTAGTTGAGATTTATATGCGCTAAAGATTAGCCTTGAACGATGCTGTCATTGCTAAGATAATTTGATTTGGTGCTCAATTGGGAAGAATGGATAAACATCAACGTATTCTGCCGAAGATATTTGACAGATGAACACTGATATCACTGATATGTTTTCTATGGTGTTGCCTAACCATAAGACTTCATTTTGCTGTGTTGGTGGTGATACCTGGTAGTTTAGGTTGTTGTTGCAACAGACAATCATTTCCATGCCATATTCTCCACAAATTCATGAGCAATTGGCACTTGCACAATGTTGTATCACGGACTATTTAAAAATGTTCTGCATTCCCTGAACACTATGCAAGTCAATGGCACTGGTTTTAGTTATGCTTGCATTACGATTGCAGGCATTCCATCGAGTTGTAATTTAGAACTTATTATGACAAATGAAATTTAGAAATGCCACAAGCTATAAAAATATAGCAGAGCACGTTTAGACAGATCGCATGTTTTTCAAATCTTAATCATGCCATGACACCATCTTCAGCGAATTAGCGATCCATTACTCAAGTTTCAGCAGTCTCTAGTAATCTGGTCCAGTCTCATTCGTCATTACTCACGGTTGTATACTTCAATTATAGTTGGTGGAACATAATTTTGTTATACATTGCTCGCCCTGATTCATCATCATCATCATTATAGTTCTGGTCAAGAAATTAAGGATCTGAATATCTGGTCAGCAAAAGTATGCAGTATGGAGCTTTTGCGTAAAAATATATTGCTGTGAACTGACCCAGACAAGGTGACAACGTGACTATTCTTCATGAATGAGCGAAAGCATACCCTTGTGGAAACACTGTATTTGTTCAAGTCGTGTGGCAAGCCCATTTATCCTCATATATGTCCCAAGTAGCAAATGGTTCAAGAAATAACCACCCAAACATTACTCGATTACTCCTCAGTTCTTATAAGGATGGTGTGAAATTTTCTTTTGCAAAGACCAATGCACATGGAGCAATTTGGACCCTTTTGCCCCTCCTATGTCGCATGATTGAGCAGTTAGCAAACCCTTAATCATCTTGCTAACTGCACCACAACTCTTTGATCTCTGCACACACTCGGTCTGTTCGTTCCCTGCACGCTCACCCACCCGCACTTTCAGCATCGCCCCACGTGATGTACATGATGCAGGCTGAATGCATGAACAATCTGAGCAACCGGCATGAATTGGTGATGGCGAGTAGTCACAGATCAGTGCTTCCTCATCGTCCAAGGACGCGTAATTGTTAGACGATTGAAATTGTAACAAGAAACTGCAAAAAATGGTGCCCAGAATCGTGACCAGTTAAACGTGACTTCATCCATGACTGTGGCCACCACGGACCTGACAAACACGTCCTTGGCCACCACACCATGTGTGGCCTTGTCGTCCTTGAGCTTGAGGACATTTCGCAGCATCTCGTCTACCACGGCCCTGGCAACCTTGTCCCAGATCCCCACTCCCTCGTCACCGCGCCTGTCCTCGCAGTCAACGGCCTCCGACAGTGTCTTGTCTACTACGATGGCACACTCTCTCTCCCTCGAAACAATCTGTGGCAAAGGAGGTAGGAGGGGCGTGGCGTGGTTTACTCATCCCTACATGCGTGCAACATTAGATCCAGAGAATTAAGCGGGGCATGAGCTGATAGGTATTTTTGGGAGAAATAGTGCTAAACATCCTCTGCGCCTCCTGTTTTCCGGTATTTGTTTGGGGGGAAATCCACACTCTTTAATATGGAATGGAGGGAGCATCGAATATAGCTGCATACAATTCTTAAATGTGGCAATATGGTATACACCATAAACTGGTAGCACCATTATATAGTGAATTAACATGGTGAACTGAGCCATTAATATTATGGCAGATCTAAGTTCAAGAAATTTAAAACCATAAAAGATACACTTAACCATTCATAACTCTCTGTCGGTAATGTGGTCAACGCAAACATTATGTTTTCTTGTATGCTTGTATTGTACAATGCTAATGATTTGTTATCTCTTACATCTAACAACTATGTGATTTGTGCGATGGCTTTATGGTTACTGGACATTATCTTATTTATTACTAGCAGGGTGGTTCAACAAATGATAAAGGGAAGAGCTTGGATATAGAGGAGGCTGATGCTGGAGAACCTGACAAGGTTCATTCTTCCAAAACTAAGCAGAGGAATACAGTGGACAGTATAACAGAGCAGATAAGTGGCATTGCTATTTCTGAATCTCCAGCTACAGCAACCCCTTCCACAAATGCCGCCAACAACTTACAAACAGAGTCATCTGTTACAGAGATAGATAAGAAAATCCGAGCGCTGAAGAAAAAGGTTCTCCCTCCTTCCCTTACTCAGTCATCTGTGCATGCGTGTGTGCTTGAAAAATGTGTCAGCGTGTTTATTTTGTTGTGTGCTATCGCCTTAATTTGTCACAGATACGCTTAGCTGAAGCCCAAGTGCAAGGGGACCCAGAAAAATTGAAACCTGAGCAATTGGAGAAAACGAAAAAGATTGAAGGATGGCGTGAAGAGCTGAAGCTTTTGGAGTCTACAAGGGGTCATGCTGCTTCGTAGGCAAAGCGGGCTTGGCCCTGATGTAAACTGAGCTGTCATTTCTGCACGCCCACTTGGCGTTGTTGCTGACCCGAAATTCAATCGATCATGCTGTGCTTCTTCAGTACCTACGGGTTTGCTGGAAATGCATTCCGGTGAACGTGGGGTTTGCACAGAATGGAAGATTTTTCACCACATTTGTTGTCTCATGTAACACTTGTCAGTTCCAAAATTTATATTGCAATATCTGTTTGTCGAAGATCATATAGTGGAGGCGATAACTGATTTGCCATGGGATGGCTGTTGCTTTCGTGTGTTATACCAACTTTGGGGTCCATTTGACGTTTGACTAATTTACCTTTTTTAAGTTGAGTTGTCTTCTTCTTTTTTTTCTATCGATTGATTTCACACCTTGAGTGGAGGAATAACAAGACAAAGTGATCGAATAAGCAGAGGAATTGACTATAATGTCTTATGCAATCTTAGAATTTCACAAAGGTGTTTGTATGCCTTGCAGAATTTTTGTGGGAAATTGGTCCTTGATTGGACAGCAAAGGGAGACCCCACCTTGACTCAAAACTTTTCAAAGGAATTTCAACACGAGGTCGGAGAGCTCATTTAGGTTCTTACAATCAATGAAATTTCTACAAAATTCTTTGTTTCAAACAAGCCATAAGAATCTGAGAAGCCAGATTTAAGCACGACCATGATCGATACAATGAGGCCCCAGAATGTAGGAATAACAGCATAGTTTGAGCACCATGTCTTGTGGATCCCTAGGTGATTTCACACCTCAAGCGTCGGAGTAAGAAAACAAAGGAATGCGAAAAAGGCATAATTTGAGCACCATGCCTTGTGGATTCCTAGAATTCAAAATATTGTTGTTTATGCCCATTAGAAATTTTGTGGAGAACTAGTTCTTGACTGGAGAGAGCATAGGAGTGAAAGAAGCATCTTGCCTTTAACTTCTCAAAGGAATTTTAACATGAGATTGGAGCTCATCTTTAGAATCCTCCAAAACGTGGAGGAAGAAATGTTCCCTATGAAAATTCACAGGTTCTTATAATCTGAAGGGCCTATAGGAGAATTCTATGTATGATTCTAATCATATGAAATTCCTTTGTTTCCAAAGAAGTCACGAAAATCTAAGCATATACTCCCTCTGTAAACGAATATAAGAGCGTTTAGATCACTATTTTAGTGATATAAACGCTCTTATATTTCTTTATGGAGGGAGTACTATTCTCTCCGACCCGTATTACTTGTGAGCTCAAACGGATGTAAGTCGGCGAAGTCCCAAATCAGGTGCTTGCTTCCTTCCTCAGTTCGGAGCTCTCCTCACTTCAGTGTTCCTATGCTTTCGACACCTGGGAACACCAATCTGGAAAAAAAGATTCTCCATCCCCTAACACCTCCACGACAAATCTTAACAGAATGGCGAGACTCATTTATGGTTGAACTGTATACACGTCCTGTTCCCGATCGACTTGTACACGGCATTGTTTTTCCTCACAAAGAAACAAAGCAGGCACAGAGACAAAAGAAAACTAATAAGTCAGCAAATACGCGTGAGCTATGCTCAACCAGTATATGCCAAATGGCGACCACCGGCCAGCGGAGGAATTTCCATCGGAAGGCCCGTACAATGCAAAGAAAACTTTGCCGTACGGTCCCGCCTCAGCATAGAAGTCGCCAACGAGAAGGGACGCAGTTCCAGGCCATATCAGCCACCATTATCGAAAGTTCCAGAGCATACCACGTGATCTATGTGGTAAGCAATCCAAAAAAGAAAATTTTCCAGAGCATGCCTTGCAGTTGGAACAACCAGTGGAATCTCTCTCATTCAGCACCATGACATTGACATCAAGGCAGTAAGTCACCATGCGTATTTACATCGTGTCCTCTCCTACTTTACACTAGGCTCAGATGCACATTTACTCTACTCCCCGGGCAGGATAATATTAGCCGGATCACCAGAATTCGGTAAAGAAAAGAATCAACTAACAAAACACAAGAGATGCTGGTTGACAACTTTGTTTACAAGGATCGTCCTTTTTTCCAGCCAGCTCCACATGATTAGCGAGGACTAATATCTGCAGATAGAATAAGCAGCACTACAGGTCAGATTAACCAGGCGATTAGACAAGAAACAGATGGCAGCCTAGCTTAAGTAGCTGACGGCAGCAGCCGCGTAGTGCAGAAGATTAACTTACAATTCTGCCGATATGCTGGAGTTGTCCACAGCTCTATCCGCTCGTGCCACGTGTAGAAGAATTTGGGCGTGTATATGTCCTCATCGACCGTATAGATCGCATAGATCTATTCACAAAAGGATGGTCCAAAAGTTTGGCTGCGGATGGTCTGTCTTCTGGATTCGGTTTTACACACTGGCTAATGAAATCACGAGCTTCCTTCGAAAGGCCACTAGGAATTGCTGGTGGCTCCCCCTTGCCAATCCTGTAAAGGGCTTGTGTCTACAGAACAAGTTGCAAGAATGGGTGTGAATCTGATGAATTTTGAATCATAAATAACACACACCAGAGACCTTTTACAGATTTTAAACCAACACTGGAATTCAAACATGCAGCAGCTATTACTAGATTCAAATGAAGAATTACTCACCCACTCCAGATCAGGATAGGGAAGTTGACGTGTCAACATCTCTAAGACCGTGCAACCCAAACTCCATATATCAGCTGCAGGTCCATATGTCTTCTTGGGATTGACGACCTGAAAGTTCAGTGTGTCCATTTAGAATAATCGAAAAGGTATGGACATATCCTACATGACAGTATGCTTATGCCAAATACTATCTTGTTTAGCCAAAAACCAAGAATGTCCGCAGCAAACAAAGAACATAGAGCACCAATCCAACTTAAATTAACCGCTTAGTAACACACGTAATTATTCCACTAAGCATCGACATACAGTGTGAACTACCAGTGCAATAGTTGTCACTAATAGTGAGCCATGATGATACTCAAAGGTCCGGCAAAGCAAGCTAACTGAACTACAAGTCCAAGCTGTATTTCAGTGCATCGGCACACAACTCTTAAACACTTTTCATCATAGCCCCCCTCTACCTCAGGATTATACTACTACTTGCTAATTGATTATTCTCAACGAATTACTGAAGGAAAAGGGTAAAAATAAACAACTGAATTCGAGACTATGCTAATCTGATCTTAAGAGTGTAGTGATATACCTCAGGTGCCATCCAATATACAGTTCCTTTGCATGATTTTAGCACATTGAGTTTGGAGGTCTGAAAGACAATTGATAAAGCAACGTTAAATCACAAAGTTAGTGCATGGATAACTACATTCAAAGTTCAAACACAAAATTATGCAGGTTTTACAAGAAAGTAGAGGACCTGCTTAGCAAGCCCAAAGTCCGCAAGCTTCACGGATCCATTCGCATGCACCAGTATGTTGGCACATTTAATATCTCTGCAAGATGATATTCTAAACTATAAGTACATGAAAACATTACATAATGCCCTAAAGACTTGTCAATTTGGGTCAGGTGATATTTATTCAGAAGGCAAGACAAAAACCAGTGATCATATTACCTATGAACAATATTCCTCTCATGGAGGTAATTCAATCCATTAAGTATTTGTCTTGTGTATGCCGAAACATGAGTATCTCGTAGGCGGTACTTCTGATACAAAGATACAAGAGATCCTTGGGTCACTAGTTCAAGGAAGATGTAAAGTTTCGAGTCCTCCTGCAACAGTCACACAAATGATGATTATCAGTCTCAAATGAAATAAGTACAGAGAAATCTATGAGTATAGAGCACAACAGTGCTTCAACAATGGAAAAAGTGATGCGCAACTGGAAGATCGGGGAGCTTACTTTGTCAGTTCCGAAGTAGTGTACTATATTCTCATGTTCAAACTGACTCAAGAGTGCAATTTCCTGAAAAGTAGAATGGAAGCTAATAAGAGGCCAAATTACAGAATACACCATTGAACATAGAAGGAAAGAAGTCGTAAAAGACAAGGTCTACGATATTATCAATAACACAAACAGCCAGCTAAACCAACCTGCTCAAGTTGGAAAATACACTGCTGTGCGTTGCTTCCTTGATCATGTAAGGACACTTCTTTGACAGCAAAAAAGACACCCTCGCTGTGAAGCATCAATCATTATACCATAAGATGCAGAAGTAGAACAGCATGTAGTAGACTTATGACAGAAAAACATAAGACCAGCCTAATAAAGGAACAACAGATGCTGCAGTCCTTCATGCCCGGAAGCTGAATATCCATTTTATTAAGAATACCACATAATTCAGAACTGGAACGGATGCAGTGCAATATTTTGGCAAAACAAATGATCATATTCCCCTGTATTCTAGAGAATTTGGTTCGGAACTGGGTAGCACTCTGACTCTAGCTAATTCTAGTTGACCACAACCCAGGATTATGTTGAAGATGAAACCATGAAGATGATTCAATTACTATTTACTACTAGGCTACACATCTGTATTTTGCTACTCAATAGTTCTTAGGAGTTAAAATTGGGGCCAGTGAGCTTCTAGTCAGGCAGAGGATCACTCTACACAATTTGGGTTGATCAAGGCTTCTGGATATACGCTAGCCCTAGGTTATCTTGGAACGAACATAGCAAGTTGAGATCCTAACCTTAAGCATAACGTTGAGAACCAGTATACAAGGAACGATGAATTTTCCTCTGAAGAGTGAAGAGAACTTACTCGCTGATCCCCTCATAGACGGTCCCAAAGGAGCCACTCCCCAAGAGCACACCTCGACTCCACGACCGGATCTTCTTCTTAAACCTCCCGTTGGGCGAGATGTAGAACATAGACTCGGTTGTCTCATCGTCGTTTGTGGTCGATATCGAGGATGTGCCTGTGAATTCCTCGGAGCTCTCCCCCAGCCTGAGATCTTCCAACGTCAACACTTCCGCCGCATCCTCGTCGTCCTCGGCATCCGGGTCTCCAAAATCAGGGACAGATCTGATTGCCTGTGGTTGCCCTTGCTCCTCTGGCGC